GTGGGGTATATGATCTACTCGTTCACCATTCGGTTTCACTGGTGCACCTTCAATGATACCCGATTCTAATTGCTTCTCGATTGTTTCATCATAATTGTTGTTTACCTTCTCATCTCGCTCGATCTTTTTGCATACGTTAGCTAATCGCTTTCCACTTGGTTCTAGATTGCTATTTTGGTAAAGAATGTCCTGGAATCGATGGTACTTTGACTTGATATCTACCGTCATCAGCCCGAGTAATGTTTTCTTTAAATTCATGATAAACGTCCAATCGGTCGTTCTCCCCTCTATCTTCAATTCCAACTACATCCAGTGTATACAATTGCTCGTAGTCATTTGGTTCTCTTGTAAACATACACACATTGTTCGAAATATCACCACCATGAACAATCCAACCAAACGAAGTACCTTCAACGATAGGATCGCCATCTTTTCCTTTGTAGATTTCCTCTGTCTTAATCTTGCAGAAGGTGTTGTCACCTAAGATCAAGTGTATTGGATATTCACCATCTCTTGTCATGTAAAACCTCTTATCCTTTGTGTGTTCATAATTCCATTTAAGTTTGTTCATGTCCAATTTTTTCACTGTTGTGAAATCTTTCATTGTCGACCCGGCTAGCTCTATATCTTCCTTGGTTGATCCATCTAATGATTCGATTGTTACATTGTAAATAAGCATGGACTGTCTTTTTGTTCCATTAATGGTGATGGTTTCTTTCGATTCATGTCGTGCTGCAGAAACTTGAAGTTTCTTTACTGCTTTCTTTGAAATAAAATTCATGCCCGATCCTGTGTCCAAAAATGCCCAGAAAACTTCTCCATCCACCTTAACTGGGATTATGGGGGGTAATGTAATCTCGTCTGTTGTTGTTGAGTAGCCTGTTAGTACTGTACCATCACCGTCGTTTTCTTTCTGATCATATAAACTGGTATGATGTCTCTCCCCACAGTGATAGCACCCACGACTCCTACAATGTCTAGCCCTATGTCCCGGGCTACCGCAATTGAAGCATAAATTGTTCTCACCGAAGTAAGCCTTTCTTTGAGCTGTGGTTACGTAAGACTTGCACATATCACTCCAGTGTTCAGCTTTACAGAACATACAACAAGGTGTCTTTTTTCCTCTTTCGTTCTCTTTACCTCCATTACTTCTTCTTGGGTCACCTATGGATTTATCTTCTTCAGTTTTGTTTCTTCGTAACCATTTTTGCAGACTATCAACTAAGTTCTCCATTTTCCATTCTTCCCAATCTTCATCAGTCCTTACCAAGTCTGACTTCACATTTGGCAACTTATTAATAGTACACATCACAAATCCATCTAATTTCTCATGTTCACCGAGAGTCTGTAGGGCGTCATAGTTCTTGCTCAAATGTTCGTAGAAAGCCAAGATCTTTTCATAGGAGGACCCTCGTACTGTGGGTAAATTTACTAATTCATCAATATGTGCATTCACAACCAACTTTGTTTGACCGTATTCCTTTTTGAGTCGTTCCCAAGCCGTTTTATATACAATCGAGCTCGGTTTAAGATCTTATCCCTGACTTTTCCACTCACCATTTAAAGTAAATAGCCAAACTTTTCCTCATCACTAATTGGCTTAGAATCGACCTGTGTAATAAACATGTTCTCAAACCTTACCCAGTCTGCTGTTGTTCCATTAAATTGTGTTGTTATATAGCTAGCGTGAACACCAAACGTGATTGGCTGATTTGTGGTCACACGACTTCGGATAAATGCAATGTTTCCCGCCGGGCAACAAGTGAAAAATTGTTGGCCGCCCCGACCGGCCACGTACATAAATAAACAAAATGGCGGCACAACTACGATAATTACAAACTACGATTTTCCAAGTTTGTGTTCAAATAAAGAATGTAAAAGGGAAGAAAAATACAGAACAGGAAACAGGATATGCTGCCTAAACCGTTTAAGTAGGTTCTTTAATTTTAAACTCGTTTACTCTATAGAGTTTTTGCCACGAAAAACAATTGTTGTATATGAATGTTGTTGAAGTTGATTTTTGTTCGTCGCTATATAACAAAACACTTAATGTCTGTTCCCTCGGGAAAGAGTTAGTTTTGTTTTCCCTCGAATCTCAATGTTTCACTCGACTTCGTCTCGGGAAACATTGAGACTCTCGGGAAAACAAAACTATTTCCCTCGGGAGCAGACATTAAGTGTATATTATTTTCAATTTAGGAAGTTTAGCTAGAGTTGATCTTGCAGCTTTTTCCATTTCTAGCTTTTTCTCCGTCATTCTAAGCTCTGCTTGTAATTTTTCTTCGAGCATTTGCCTCTCTTGGTCTCGAATTACTTCCCTGTTATGCTCTTCTTCGATACGTTTCGCGTCTCGTCGCTTATTTTCCTCTTCAGTGGCAATATTTGCTTGTCGTTTAGCCAGAATATCAGACAGTTTGTTCATTTCATTTACCCATGGCATATATCTATCTCTTACCTCTTTCTTACATTGTTGAATTTCCCGTGATGTACTTTTTCCCAGCTCAACTTTCGTCTCTTGAGCGGTCGAAACAAGGCTATATATTTGATCCAAAATCGCCTTTGTACGCTTGTTTACTGTTTCGATTTCTCTCAGATCTTGCTTTTCGATAAGCTCGTCGGATTGTTCCAAATAATACTTTAACTTTTCTATTTCCTTGTTGATTTTATTCTCAATTTGTTGCTCGCTCGCTTGTTCTTCTGGGTCGCTCATTTTCACTCTCGCTTATCGTCGTAAATATAGTTGTAAATTTGTTGAAATTCCCCGTAAAATATCACTTGTTTCCCTTGTTTACATCCTGGTCACGGCACCACTATATACCGAAGTTGTCCTCGTATATAAATCCTCACTCTAAATATTTATTATACACAAAAAACAATACGAAATATATAAATTCACTTGTCTCAAACCCTGTCAATTGTCTCTTAACCTTGTCTATTGTCTCTTAATAACCTTGTCTATTGTCTCTCACCGTCTCACAATAACAAATTCATTATACCATATATGGTAATGTTGCGCGTGTCTCTAAATATAGCTACATGTATTACTGTTCAGAGTTCATCACAACGTCTAGGCAATACAATTTTAACAAGCTTCGTTTTTCGACAATCCTACGTTCAAATGTAGGATTAGCGGTAGACTGTATCATGCAAACAGAATCGTATAAAAAGTTTATTTTGCCTGTATTTGTTTCTTCAAAATATTTAAGAACGAACTTTAATCTCTAAGCCTCATGGTAATAATATATTTTGTGTTCAATGTATAGACCACAGCAAGACTTTTTATCACTCCAACTTCAGATAGATAAGGTTACAATGAAGATTACAATTGTAATCTTATCTACCTGACGACGGAGTAAATCTTCGAAACGTTGTTTGTTCATGACGTATTAGTTTTTCACTGAAACTCCAGAAAAACTCACTGCACCAGAATCGTAAACTTTAATCCAAAAGTGTGTTATGGTAATTAAGTTGCAGGTAAGGTGAAATGAATCCAAACTGCAGATTGAAAAATAACAGTTAGTAACTCCAGACGAAGGCCCTCCGCTCGAAACATCGAAAATCTCCTTATATTTGTCAGGTAGCTGCATCCCTAGCTAGCAGGGCTTTGGCCGTATTTCCTGAAACACCACCATTTGGGATCAAGTTTCACAAAGGTGGTCAAAATATACCGGGTGGGGGGAGGCCGTGCGCCAGCAGGAGGATGTCATATGATGTTTGTGGCGTTGAGTGTGCATCCACACCATGCAATATGGAGGTTACGATTATATATGAATACAGGTTGTGAAAATGGAAATTAACTCAAACAACTTAGATCCAAATCGTGAATTTCCACACTTGAAATACAGTAGGTAGCCACTTTAACCGCGTAAGTCTTCAACGAATCGGACACGTACAGAAATGTTTAATGTTTACAAAAATTTACAAAGAATGATTACACGTTGCATTACCTGCAAGTGGCCAAGCTAGTCGTGGCAGGCAATGAATTTAAATGTAGGTAAGTTTAGAAAAATATTTTTACAAATAAGTGAAGGAAAGTATATAAAGTTAATTGATTATGAAAAATATTGTAATTTTAAATACAGTATTACAGATCTGGCATTACAGAGAAAAGGCAAGCAGCTGAAACATCCTTATCTAGTATTCTATATCTCAAAGGATCTAAGGTAATTTAAACCATCATAGTTACAATTGGCAATCTTGCTATTATCATGGGCACATCAACATAGTGATTCTCAGTTGTAAGAATTGTAAAGAGGGCCTGGCACATTTTGTGTTTAAATATCTTTTTACTTTTTGAGCGAAGGCCCTGGTCAATACTATTCCAAATTTCCGCACCAAGTCGAGGAAACGAACATTTCTGAAGCTCTAGGCGAGAATATTTGATATAAAAATTCTCTTTCTTCGCCGCTCTTGTATTATAATTATGAACCTCAGATGTTTTTTTGAAAAGTTCTTGTAGCGGTTGTTGGCGAGTCTCCGGTTGATATATCGTATAACATGTTATCAGATTCTTTGATATACATCATATTAATAGGAAGAGAATTTGAAGAAACAAACAAGGGAATTGCATGATTATGAAATGATTTAAAATACATCAGACGTAAAACGCGTTTTTGTAACATAAGAAGTTTCTTAATGTGAAACTTGGCAGCATTTCCCCATGCAGACAGTCCATACGAAAGATAAGGTAAAATTAAGGACCTATATATATCTAGTACGCCAGTACGGTATGATTTGGAATAAAATATCGCAATTTTGAGATAATCCCAACATTTGTACTAATCTTTAATGCAATATAGTCAATGTGATGCTTCCAACTTAAGTGGCAATCAATGATACCAAGATACTTTATATATTCTTTGCATTCGAGTGGTGTGTATTGCTTAGAATTATTATCATACATGCTAATTACTGGATGATAATTTACTGATTTCTGGTGTGGGCGAAAAATAACAAAATTTGACTTTTTTATATTGAGCGTAAGTTTGTTGGCATTAAGCCATTTGCAAACATTATTCAATTCAGAATTTACAACATATTCAAGTTTTTATTAGCATATAGTAGGTTGGTATCATCCGCAAAAAGAAAAAAATTAAAAACGTTTGATTACTCAGAAATATCGTTTATGTATATTAAAAAAAGTAGAGTGTATTGTAATGTCTATAAATCTCTCTCTTAAATTACAAATACGCGCTGGTTTGAAGGACACAACTTGTTTATAAAATTAAAATATATGAATACATTTTGTTACACAGAAAACTCCACCCACTTTACACCCGTCTATCATAAATGTCAATTATTAACAATTCATTACACTCCCTCCTTGACCAGTGTTAGGAAAGTATTTATAGTATCTTTAGTCCATTTCATTTATCCACTGGTCAATTAATTGTCTGCGGTGATTTCCCACAACTGCTGCAGTTCTCGTTGATCTTCGAACAGGCACAATCTCAGGCTCTTGATCGGTTGTAGATTCGGTTTCTTAGAATGATTGCAGGGTATTTCTCTTTGTATGATATTTCTGCGTTAGCTAGTCGTCCCTTGCAACGAATGATTCCTTTAGTGTCTTCGAACAGTCCCAAACGATTCTTCTTCTCGACATAGTTGCTGTCCGAACGTCTCTCTGTATGAATAACAACCAGTAATATTCGGCCCGTCCTAATTCTTCGGCCGTTAAACACTCAACTAATGACGTTCCTTGTCGTTTTCGTTTTAGATTCTCAATAAATCTTAGAACATAGGCTGTGACGGAATACAGCCGACTGACACTACTATAATCTTCGCATGTAATGACTTTAGAAATGTTCCCAACCGCTTCGTCTATCGCACTCACGTGAACGCGTGTACTTTGTACTTCACGAATCTTGGATACCTTTGCTTCTAGTAGAACTTCGTTTGTGGGTTTACTCAATTCTGCCTGTCTCGGGTTGTAGTTCCTTACCCAGTCTGGACCATTCCACCACTCGCCATTCTTTAAAAGATTGGTTGCCATAGTTCCTCTTGATGCTATGTCTGCAATGTTTTGTTCTGAAGAACAATGAAACCAAAATTCTGAAGGAATTAGTCCTCGAATTTCAATGACCCGATTTTGCACAAAGGGCTTCCATTCTCTATCTTCTCCTCTTATCCAGTAGATCGCCGTTAGAGAATCTAACCAACAATAGGTTGCGCTAATCTTGACAATTGGTCTGAGTGCTTCGCGGATAGAGATAATTGATCTCGCTAAAATAGTTGCTGACAGTACCTCCAGACGAGGAATGCTTTGCTTTACGAGTGGAGCTACGCGTGTCTTACAAGCAACTAACTGCACTCGCTTCGCTATCGCAGTTAAAACTCGGATGTATACTACGGCTGCATATGCTACGATGCTCGCGTCCGCAAATCCAAGTAATTCAACTGACTTGATTTCATCAGCAATATCTTCGATATAGCAACGTGCCGCCTGGATTGTTTTACATTCTTCTAAGTCGTCTTTCAATTCTTTTACCTTCGAGTACAGTTCTTCAGATATTGTTTGATCCCAATCCACGCCGTCTTTACACAACTGTTGGAATAACACTTTCATAGTGATCGTCACGGGGGCTATTAGTCCAATGGGATCATAAACCTTCGAAATCACACTAAGAACCTTGCGTTTCGTAATAGGGGTGTCCTTATCCTCTGTCATGTTCCATTGTAATCCAAGCACCTTACGAATATTTTCACAACTGTCCGTTACATTCGTACCCAATGATGATGCGGCATAAGTTTGGTTGTCTTCAGCGATTGGCTTCTCGGACGTTCTCTCAGTTACAAAGTTATCGACCTCGTGGCTTGCGATCTCCTCTCGCAAAGTTGGATCGTTGGTTGCCCACTTCCGGAGACTAAATCCCCCTTCTGACATGCGCTGTCGACTCTTCAGATATAACTCGTACGCTGTCGGTATTGTACCGGCTCCACCACTAAAATCGTACACGTACAAGGAAGACAGGAAGGCAGTGATGAAGTCAGGATCATTCACGTAACTATTGATGTGATGAGCTATGGTGGCATTTAACAGAAACGGGCTGCTAGTCACACTGAAGACTACTCTTGCAAATCGATAAGTTAATACTCACTTGCATGAGGATTTTCACTTGCAATGTTATCTATCCAGAGAAAGCGCAAGGCATCTCTGTCCTCCGTGGACATGGAAATTTGATGGAACGCTTTTTCTACATCCGCTATCAACCCAATCTTGTGGAAACGAAAACGAATCAAAACATCGACTATCTTTGGCAAAAGAGAAGGCCCCGCATTCAAACATGAGTTCAGAGAGGTTTTGGTGGTTTTCGCACTGGCGTTGTACACAACGCGGACCTTGGTCGTTTGCTTGTCTCTGCGAATCACCGGATGATGGGGCAAGTAATGCACCTTTCCAGGCGTGCAACTGGCTCTTTCGGAAACCTTTTCAACTATTCCTGTCTCGGTCTGTTTCTTGATTAGCTCGTCGTACTCTTGGAGTAGCTCGGGGTCCTTTCTCAACCGTTTCACTTGGGATGCAAGGCATCGTTCACTCAATTCAAAATTGTCGGGTAAGACGGGATGATGACTTTCTCGCCACGGTAAACATACTTCATAGCGACCGTCCTTGAACTCGATTGTCTCCTTAAATTGCTCATATACTGGGTTCTTGTTAGGGTTAACACCGATCGCTTCTAATTCCCAGAATTTCTTCAACTGACTGTGCAAGTCCACATTCAATGAATCCTCAGGCTCGGTTGTGTCAACTCGTAGAAGGTGGGTGGTGAGAAAGTTGGCGACAATGTCATCGCTTGTGTGGGGAGTTGTTACAGGGCCAGAAAGGACGTATCCTAACTTGGTTTCCATCGCGATAGGGCCGTGCTCCCCCCGTATGACCTTGCCCGAGACAATATGCCAAAAGAAATCTGCTCTTATCAACATATCAATATCAGAAGGCTCTTGGCCATTGCTTCCTGAATCTGCAAGGTAGAGATTTCTTAAATGGGAGTAGTGACTTGAGGCAAACTGGACTGGTTGATGGGTAAGGGGTGAACATATCACTGGAACTACATAACAACTGACATATAGATTAAGATCACTATTCATAGCTCGCACACTTGTCTGAACAGCAGCACAAGTCCGCGCCGTCTCTGTTGTTTTACCGAACGTCTTTACAACCAATGTTTCCCTATTAACTGCCGTAAGGTCAAGCTCTTGACGCAAGCTCTCCGTGATGTAGCTTTTTTGGCTCCCCAAATCTAAAATTAAGCGAATGTTCTTAGAACGTTCTCCAACATTCGGGTTTGATATAATCGCGCGAGCTGTTTCTAATAATATACCGGTTTTAGCTGTTGTGTACAAGTTCGTAGTTGGGTTAGCCACTGAGGCTTCAGAAACTTCCGCTCGAGGTATTTATTGATGGGATTGCTGTTGTTGTCGTTGGGTTATAGGAATCTGTGGGTGTGGCGTAGTAGGAATCTGGGGGTGTGGGGTAGTAGGAATCTGGGGATGTGGGGTAGTAGGAAACTGTGTGTGTTGCATGTTTTGGGTTCTTGTGTCTCGTACTACGTTTTCTTGCATCATAAAACTATTACGATTATGGATTTCACAAATGCTTGTATGGTGTTTACCTCGACACTTACTACACCGTCCCGGGGATTTACACTCTCTTACAATGTGATTTTTTCGCAAACAATTAAAGGATAGGCCACTATATTTTGTAGAATTTGTTTTCGCGCGTTAATATCTGTGACAACTTGACAATTTGCATGGGCGTGGCTCTGTCTACAATGCGCGCACGGAATTGATCGTTTCTGCACGGTCATTAGACTAGACGCTGGTTTCATATAGCCAAAGTTACTTCGATTATGACCTTTATTCGCTAAACTGCTACTTGCATTAAGTCAAACTGCCGTGCATCGTTCTCTTGCTTGTAACTCTTCTTTAAATGTTTCTAAAAGCAGATTAAAATCCCAAGTATTTTTGTCAAATTTTCGACTTATTATGATTTGTAGCTCGCTGGGTATTTTTGCTAAGATTACTGGAACTAAAAGTGATCCAAATTGCTCTGGTTTTATGCCTAGCACATTTAAACTGCGAATGTTTGTTTCAATCTGATCGTATAAGGGAGCAGTCATTATTAATGCCAGGGGGGGGGGGGACCCGGAAGATATTTCTAAACTCATGGTAAATTTTTCATGGCCCCTCATTCCTTCAAAATATTTTTTCATGGCCCCCCCCCATTTAAATATAAATTTTCATAGCCCCCCCCCCCGTGATTGCACTTGCATTCCTAACATATACTAAGATCACAGGCGGCCCAATCTCGCAAGCGACGTCTTGGGCTATTGTGGTGCTTGATTTTCGATGGCTGGGGGGAGCGGGAAATCAAAACAACAAGTCCAATATGGCGGGGAAATTTATCTTTATCTTGTATAAAAACCACATGGACGAATTCAATTGAACTAAATTTTGGCACAAGAATGAGTTTAAAAAACATAGTATGACAAAAAGAGCCTGTGGAGAATACCTGGAAACAGTTTTAAGAAATAATCTCGACGAGATGCAACGAAACGTGACTATGTAAGTCTGTATAAATACAATTTATAAAGATTTTCTTAATAATTAATTAGAATAATTTTCTTAATTTCATATGTTATTTGAGTTTGAATCATTTGTCCATATAGTTTAAATTATGTGCCTTTATGAGTTTATGATCATTTCCCAAGTTTGTTTTATGCCAAATTGCTTACAAAAGAATTAAAAACTCTTGACAAAATGAAGTTGAATTTTATTTAATTTCATCATGCTATGCATAAAATAAATAATCACTCGGGCAAGTCGTGCAATTAACACTGGCAATTAATTAACAGCTTGTGCAATTTTGGCGCATTTTTCAAATATTACTCGTAGTGTTAATATAATTAATTGCACTCCTTCCTGTGTGATTACCTATACTTATATTGCATTGACATTTATATTACAGTGAACTATAATCTGATGTTTTATGATTATTGTACATTAGTATAATTACATAGGTGATTATTGAAAATTCTCCACGCTGATTGGTTACCGTTGAGGGGATTATTACGCGATAATCACCTAAGCGATTTTCAAAATGGCGGCCGAAGCCGTTTTGTCAATTGAAAGACGAAGAAATGTGCATTTTAAAATTTTTTTTCAAATAATCACCTATGAAATTATCCTGAAACAATTATTCACCTCAGGCTCGGTGATTATCGTGAATAAAAACATCGACTTCGTCTCGGTTTTATTCACCGATAATCACCTCGCCTTTGGCGAATAATTGTTAATTATTTTTGGTGGCCCCCCCTACTTTTCTTTGATATTTTTGGTAGCCCCCCCCCCCCTAACTGGTTGATAAATTTTTGGTGGCCCCCCCAAATATCTTCCGCCCCCCCCCGGCATTAATAATGACTGCTCCCTAACGCCCGTAATTTCAATACATCGTTCGCATCGTGTACTGTATTTAACTTCAGAAGTTTCTCCATATGACTCGAAATGATAAGTTGAGGATTCGCGTATTGCTCTTTCAACAGTTTAATCGCTTCCCCGTAGTTCTCCGCCGTCAATGAAAAACCTGCTACTGTTGTTGCCGCTTTCCCCCTAAGTTGTCCTTTGAGATAGTTAAATTTGTCGATTTCTGAGAGCTGTGAGTTCTTGTCAACCGCCGATTCAAACGTATCCCAAAACGAACTCCAATTCGCTGGATCGCCGTCGAATGTTTGTAAAGATAATTTTGGCAACTTGCAATTCATCTTTTTCATACTGGTACTAATTTCACTGAGCGATGCTACATTATGCGATCCTTGTCTAGACTGTCTAGCTATTTCGTCGCCTTCTAACAACAATTCGATTTGTACTAAAACACGCTGTATTTCCTGCTTAAATTCGAAGGCCTCGAGCGCTTCTTCTTCGATATCTTCGACTTTCTTTATCCCAGCTAATATTTTAGAACTAGAAGTTACTATCGCAAGGAAAATGCTGCCTCAGCCCCAAGGGATTAAAGGCAGCATGCACAATTTGCTGAATAACAGGCTGTTTATGTGATCCCGCTTTGCCAGGAGATATGAGGCAGGATGATTTTGATGTGCTTAAATAAGTCACGATGCATGATACAGCAAAAAATTTCCCTATTTTCTAGAGATGGATTACAGTATGGTTAGTAACTGTAAACAAAAGGTTGCCTGTTCAAACATAATATAACCTTCTTGAACTACTTCTCTACATTTGAGCGTTTGAACTTTCATTTAGCCTAGTGACTAATATTTGAATACATCAAAATCATCCCTTCTTCCATGACATGCAAACAGCCCTTAAGACACCTGTTCAGGAGGTAAGAAAACTGCAATTTGAATATCAAACATCATGCACAAAGTCGAAGGGCGGCTGAAAGTTCTAATTCCACTTTCTTGGCATGGGCGGTTTTATATGAATATCTTCAATGCTTATAACGTCTTGCTGTTGTATAATTATAATACTGTCAGTGGTGAAGCTAGCCATAGCAACAGGTCATGCTATGCAAGTTTTTAATGATTTTCATTATTCAAATAGATGCAGGTTTATCAGTATAGCATGCATACAGTATGGCCAGTTGCCATGGCTAGCTTGCCACTGAATACTGTACAATGTTTAAATGTACAGGTTTGAATATTTTGCAGTAATAAATTTACGTGGTGTTTCCCGACAAACAAAACTATTATATATTTTATCGCCATGCAAACATACAAAGTCAAAGAACTTATTATGTACAATGTTTATATAAAAATACTAAGGGCCTGTTTACATGGAGGCGAGTTACCCGGCAAGGCGAGTTACTCGGCAATGGCGAGATCCCGGCTGTTATAGAAACTAATAGTAATCCCGGGTGACTGTTTACATGATGCAGCCGAGTAACTCGCCTTGGCGAGTTCCCGGCAGGAAGAGGCGGGATCTCGCCTAGGTAACTCGGCCACCCGAGATAGAATGTAATATGTGTTTTGCCATTGCAATATAATAGCTCAAAAATACAAACGAATCGATAGATAAGTTTTCCTGAATTGCTCGGTGCTTATTCTTGCACTTTCACTATATTTTGTAATGTTTTTAGCGTTTCAAACGACTTACATCCTTTTCTGTTTTGGTGCCATTTCGGCGTCATGCGACAAATGCCGAGTAACTCGGTTCCATATAAACAGAGCGCTTGTTTGTCCCGCCTGGGCGAGCAACTCGCTTTGCCGGGTAACTCGCCTCCATGTAAACAGGCCCTAAGTTGGGGTTTGTTCCAATTATTGTTTTAATGCCACCTTCAAGGCTGCCCATATATATCACAGAACAACAGAACAATATCAATATGCTGATGGGGAGACATGCAATATCTATTTGTTGACATTTCTAATTGTGAGCATTATCGAAAAATATAATACACTGTGAAATGTAGTGACACAGCCAGATGAATATATTATATATATGAATGTAGGCTGGTAGGATTATTTCATATTATGCTAACAATAAACACACAGTCATCAAAAATCAGTTGACATACTATTACATGTAATCATATTGCTGGTATAAAGTTAATATGTGCAGAGAACAATCCACACTGGGTTGCTCTAGGGATCTTATCACAGTAAGCCTGATTTAACAACATTCCGCGTTTGTTGTTAAACTATAAACATCTAGAAATGAACACTATACTCATCGTCTTGGCACATAACAAACAAATATTAAAACCGAGTACATTGTCAGTTTGTGACTCGTAAATAAGGCATTATTGACGAATAGATCTGGTGGGCTATTAGACACTGCCAGTAAATTCATGAAATACTTCAGAGTTCTTAAGTACATCTTGTCTCCTTGTATTTATAAGACATTATCAAATGTTCTAAACGACCATGCGGACAATGTCACAATTATGGGAATATTTCGGGCTGTATTAAGAAGCGCCGTAAACTCATGACATAAAAGCACATTGCTTGCCTCCAGAATGAACGCTAAACAATTCATGGCCTTGATGGATATTAGCACAAAGAAATAAAGCCATACTTACCTGGTTTCTTCTGGAAATGTTCGTATATTTTGCATCAAGTGAAATCCAGAATAAGTTTGCATATACTATAGCCATATAAATATGTGCCATCAATGATATGTGCACGCTCAATTTGATATTTTTCTCGCACTTCCCCCGTCCGTTCCCCCCCGGAAACACGACATCTTACCGGACAGACACAAATCGAGATCTCAACAATACATAGATCGGCGCGAAATACTGGGACGAGTGAACTCTGGAGAAACCTTCATGTCAAGATTAGGAGTGCTGCCTTCGGCAGCAATAATTCTGGTTTCAAATATTGTTTACATTTTGTTATTTTGAACCCGTCGTTTAGACAACGTTTTCTCGCTCAATATTGTAGCTGCAGGAATATAGCTCCCACTAAAATGTATGCATTTTCACAAGCATTCAAACCATCTGCAGTAGGGGTGAATATCTTTAAATTTAGAATTAATATAAGCGGTTGAAAGTCGTGCCTAAACCAGACATTATATTGTCCGACGGTAATTTTGACACACCCTCAGCTGGCCACAGCTCGTTTAGACAACAAATAATTTTAATGTAACATAAACATACGACTTTTATTCGACTATATCTGTGCGAATATTACAGGTACAATAATTTTACATATATTGTCAGATAGCTGGTGAATTCAGCTACATTTTGGTACGAGCTATAATATTGTAGCTAGAATATTTGTGCGAGAATTTTCGTTGCCTAAACGAGGGTGTAAAAATTGCCGTCGGAATACACATTCTAGTCGGACAATATAATGTCTGGTTTTAGGCACGAGGTTCAACCGCTTATATTAATTCGAAATTTAACGACATACACCCCCAACGCGGATGGTTTGAAAGCTTATGAAAATGCCTACATTTTAGTTGGATGTATATTCAGGTTAGTAGAAAATTCGCCGAGAAAATATTCGCAACAAACTGTTGTTATGCCACGGAAATTCAAAAATATCCATTACATTTTCAAAATCTTGCCCTGCTGCCCATGTAAACACATGCATTTGAAGCTTTCAAAATATATAGTTATAAACCTTTAAAGAAACGGCCTATTTTGAAAATAATGATTTTCTTGAAAATCCGCCATTGTCCATTGATTTTGCGTCCTCGTTTCACCGACACCGCATAATTATCAAAATCGAGTTTCAAATCAACAGTAATCAGTATTGATAAATAGTATTCACTATAAAAACTAACCTTCACTGTGTTTCCTCCAGAATATTTAAAATAAATAGAATATCATCAGCCTTGGCAGCCTTGCACAAAGTCCGATTTCTTGAGGTTGTCATTGATTAACAACTTAAACATTTGTAGTGATTAGGGTAAATAAACATCTATGTATCTACCTAATTTTTCTTGAAAGTAACTATTTAGAGCCTGGATGTACGTATAGCAGTAAACACTAAGCGTCACTACATTTGCTTTGTCACTATTTGTCATCGGTCAATGAATTCTTTAGCTCCATACACGCCATGCACGCGATGTTTCTTACGAAATGTTTGAATCTGAGTGTTTCATTTTATTCAAACTTGGTGTTCAAAGTTTGTGGCTTTTTTTCAAAAACAAGTTTGTGTTTTTTTTGGCCCCTCGGGGGCTCCGTACATTTGTTTAGTAAATCTATTGTAATTTTTTTGGCTGCCACCACGGCATTTACCTAGCCAGTGTGGCATGGTACTTATACTGTAACTTAGTAGAGCCTGCCACGACTGTCGGACAATTGCAACATATAGTTTTAATTTTTATTAACGTGTTTCACTGAATCAGCTGCATTCCCATGTGTTTGATTGATGTTATTTGGCGATGTTTTGGTTTGAAAATGTTGTTCAAGCATTTTACCACACAAAACGTTTTTATAGAATACAGCAAAAATAGTAATCATAGCTTCAATATGTTGTTAGTTTTACTTCTGGTATGGTTTTTATCAAAGTAAAGGTATATTATGAACCTTACTCAATCTTCTATATAAATAATATTACAGAATATCTAAAACTGCTTGACAATTAACCGACATGCAACTCACATCACGACGCCATCGTTTTTTTAATTAAAAAAGATTTATGTCCTTCCAGGAGTCATGTGAATTATGTACACATGTATTTAATATCACATGGAGTTTCATACGAGTCGTCAAGTACAATATAGTGATTTACCTATTGAAGAACATTCTACTCCTGCGTCTTCACTGTGATTGCAATTTGTATTTCCCCATTTGCCATGGGAACAACTCGTCACGTTTAGTTCATTTCCAATACAAGCAACATCGTGTAACCATATAGGTCCAGTACCATCAGAGACACCCCGTCCTCGAACAGCTCTAACATGATATATATTCAAGTAACCAAGTTGACGACATACAACCCTGGCATCAACTACATCCCAACTATGATCACAGATTGTTCCCCATTGCCCATTGTAAAATACTTCCACCCGGCCAGCACCGTTTGCACTTAGTGGACCTTGTAACCTGAGGGGAAAAGCTGTAAAATGTTTAAAAAATTAGGAGAAAGAACAGCTGGTGAGTTAGATTATCGCCCGTATTCCGAAAGCTCACTCACACTCACACTCAATGAGTGGAGGTTCAATCTGAGCTTCTCTTGAGTGCCAATGCAGTTTTTGAATAGCTGCAGGGTGAGTAGTCACATAGTAAGGTACGACACTAACCCTCCAGCTATTGAAAAACAGCATTGACACTGGGAGAAGCTCAGATTGAACCTCCAATCATTGAGTGTGAGTGCGAGTGAGCTTTTATTATCCACTCCAATTATGGTGGATTTAACAAATATAAAACATTTTTCGTGTTGATACACACAGTTATATCAACACTAGTGCATGGAAATTGGGAAACCAAGAAATTGTGTGGTAACGCGACTCCCAGAAGGCGGAGTGTTTTCACACAATTTTTTCATGTTTTCCCAATTTCCACGAGTGTTGAACCAACAGATGACAGCTCGTCTACCATAAATGATGTTGTTTTATAATATAACATTTGTAAAAACTGTCCGCTGACTTGATAATAGCCGTATTGACATAACTCAATGTCAACAAGGAAAATTTCTTTCTTTATATTTCTCTGTGTTATATTATAAAAAAACCCCAACATTTTTCCGAATTGATATACAGTTATTAGTTACGATTTTGAATATATAATCTCGGCTAATCGCAAACAATTTTCGCGTTTTATCCCGCAGTATTAAGGAAAGCGCTAAGTTGTGCTTGATTATGATGTTGAAATGTGAAGCATGCTTGTTTTAATTTGATTTTTTTTCCAAATGATTTGGAGCCAATTATCTTAGCTGTAATCTGCTGGAGTCGACTACATGGTGAACTTTCTCAATCATTTTTGTCTAGATAACACATTTCTGTGAGACATATAGAATGATAGATATTAGAATTACCGCCTCATGTTGCTTTCATAAATAATTCTTATTTAGTGTGGTTTAATTAATATTAATTTGCACTAAGTTAAAAATAGTCACAGCCTAAGCCTGTTTGATCAGGCCGAAATATTCACCAAGGGCCAACGATCAAATAGTTGTTAATTTAAAAGAATGGGATCTGAGTAAGGTTCATATGGTAAGGTTTCAAGAAACGATAAAAAAATAAGCACGTGCTTCAATAAATCCGTGCCTTTGGTGAACCGAACCGAAGTGAAGTTCAATCAACGTACAAGACACTAGATTATGCCATATTACAAATTGTGCCTTGTTTACAGTCTTTAAAATCAAAACAAGCATAAAACTTAGCTTTTTTACTTTTGAACATCATAATCAAACACAACATAGCGCTTTCCTTAATACTATGGGATAAAACGCAAAAATTGTTTGCGTCTTGCGATTATAGCCGAAGAATATAGCTTCGATCTCTTGCGAAAAGGCAAGAAATTTGCATAATCAGCCCAACATCATAGTTACTTTAAACTTAGCGAGTCAAAGATTAGGAAGCGCCCTGGAAGTGCACTGTACTTCCGACGGAAATTTCCTAGTGAAATATCGATGTTCACGAGACTATAAAACTTTCGATTAAAAAACGAAGAAAACAGCTATAACTCTTTATTTTTACAATATCCATGCTCGAATACGAAAAACACTGTCTTGGCTACGCCCCTAATTCATGCAAAAAGTCTGTTCGCCTAATTTATGCAAATTGTCTGTTCGTTTCCCTAATAATTAATAACAAATTAAATGTCAATATATACATATACAGTCACTTCTCCACATTCCCCCTTCCCACATTGGGAATAAAACCCAGTGTGTCTAACTTTGTCCTTGTTCAATGTTCAATGTTCAGAGGCAGAAGAGGTTGGACAGCAGGCCGCAAAACATCATGGGTATTGAGCGCCTAATTCCGCGCGTGACTTCATTGACTGTTGACTGTCGAGGAGTGAACATCGATCTCTGACTAATCCAATATGGAAGCTTTCGAACAAGATTGTCAGGCTGCGATACTTTGTGAAAAGAAACAGCATGTTATTCCTGTATTGTTGCGATCATCATTATGATGTGTGTTTTACTATACCAAGTTTAACTTTTTTAAATATTTGCATGGGACATGCTGTCATTTTAGCTTGATAAATATTAATAATGTGTCTGAGCGAAGGAATTGTGTTTATATTCCCAATAGCGAGGCTCTTCTTTCTAACTTGGATGACGTTAAATCTCCGATGTGTATCATCAACATGAAAACAAGCGCAATATTTAAGGTTGGTATACTACAATGCATTACAGTTACCTTGTTATTTAGTCAAATTATTATCCGCTTTGTTGTTTTTTATAACCATGTACTGTAATTTTATAAATACACTGTACAAAATTATGGCGTAATATTTGTGTTTAATGCCTCTAGTTTGACCCTATTGTGTGTATCTATGTACTGTGTCACTGTGATACATATGTACATGCTTTGAGTTAAACAAATTTTTAAATAAGTTTTTGCTGAAGTATGATGCCTGTTTGTATCTAGTTGTGGATAGATTTTTACATATATGTGCATACAATAGTTAGATATTTTTCAATTTTCATCTGTAAAATATTGCAATATTGCAATATTTACGTGTTGTTCTATAAATATTACTGTAAATGGTGACACACTTGCATTAGATTTCTAATTTTAAAGATTACAGATTATGTACAAAATAATAAAATAAAAATTTTCTTGTCATGATTCTGTAGAAAGAGATCTACTTGAGTGGTTGGCTGGTCTCGAACCTGGTCAGCATGGATATGGTAATGAAGGTGATAGGGCAGAAGGTGGTGACCAGTTAAGTGATGAAGATGAAAGTGACGAGGACGAAATTACCCATGCTGTACCATTCAAGTGCATCGGTGCTGCTCATGAGAAAAAATTTCCAACATCATTTGGAACAGGCATACCTTGCTCTTCATGGACAAGATAAACCAGTGAATGTAAGAATATAGCCAGAGCCATTGAATCCAATGGACCAAAGTGCAATTGCAATTGATGTAGACTATGGAACTGGATGAACACATATTGGTTATATTGCTTCTCAACTATGCGAGTATTTGCACCCACTAATTGCCACAGGAGATATCTTAGAGTTCTATGTTCAGCATATCAAGTATAGGGTTGACTTTTTTAAAATAGGATTTTATCAAAAAATTTTCATAAACGACGTGGTGAGTGGGGGACTCAAGTGGTAAGGAAGAGCACGAGTGTACGTTGACAGATGTTTGTGATATATTGTAACTGACTAGGTTTAGCAATTATAGAAATGATGTGATTTCAATTAGCTAACTTTTTAGATTTTCATATTTTGGGTTAATTATAAGTGGGTGTGCGCAATTGAAATAAAACAATGTCTGTCATGCACACTCATGCAATTAAGACAAGTAAATAATTGTAACATGTGCTGTACTAAATGAAGAAATAAATAGTTTGTACATTCACTTGACCAACTTTGTGAGTAATTTTTATTTTTCATTAAAATTAATGCAACAATAAAACAAAAATATGTCTATTTATATACATATTGATCAAAGGTCCCACAATAACATGCTGCTGATACTTTGTGGTACATTACATGAGAATACAAAAAACTCCTGCATATAATTGCACCTATCAATGTCGAGCCCCAGAGGGGGGTGGGCATATGTGGGGTATTTGATCATCAATTGCATCCCCACTCTGAGGATTTTGATTAGCATTTTGGGCCCGACTTAGGGCAATTTGAACCAAAATGACTTTTATTAATATAATATTTATTGCAATTTATTGCAAAATGGTGGGGTGTTTGACCAATATTTATTACCTAACAGTGGGGCATTTGATTGAAAATTTGTTCAAAAAATCAAATGCCCGACATATGCCCGACCCTACCCCTCTCTGGGGCTTAACATTAATTTTGAGAGAACCACCATTTGTCAAACTTTATCTGAATTAGTTGTGTAACATCATTACAAAATACTGTTAAAAAAAGGCCAAGTGGGCCTTCACTGCTATAAAGATAAGGGCATTCTATCCAATGGCATCAGACCAACATCTCCATGGCGTTGTTCTCCAAAGCATCGAGCAGCGTGATAAATCAGATTGTCTTTTTGACCAGCATGAAGTACAGACATAGCCTTGGCAACAAGTGGGAGAAAATTTTGAGGGACAAATTTAGCAT